TGAAAATCGTCACTACCAAAAGTTCCCTCCAGATTAATCCTCATTTCAGTTTAAATCTCTTCTGCTGTTATCTGACAATTAGGTATAGGAATAACAATTCAACCAATTGTCTCTGAGAACAAAAATAATCCTTATTTCCAAATTTTAATTACATGTATTTGATTCAGGTCTAATAACATTACATTTTCTTACAAATTTTAAACATTTGCATGATTCCAAGATAAAACTGAATATACAATTGAAATTACATCAGTTTAAAAATTCTACTTGTTGAACTTCTTGAATCATTTATAACTATTATAGTCAAGGGAGAACTGTTTTCTAGAGTCTGGCCTAGCTAGTGTGAATAGCTGTAATTTCTTTTAAAATGAGTAATGTGTCAAACTCACCAAGGGATCACCTTTGTCAGTGTGACAGGAAATGGAGGTGGACATTTCTATTAGCAAAAACCTATTAGATTGTCCAGATTGAAAAATGCAACTCTTAATTAATGGCTGTAAATAAATTCATCAAAAACAATGAAAAAGAAAGCCTAGCCAGGTCAAATAAGAAGTCTGGCTGTCTTTCAGTTAAGTTTTCCCAAGGACATAATGAGAAATAAATCCACTCCCTTGCATTAATGAAGCCTCAATGAGAAGCAGCAGCAGAATATCAACCTCTCATGTCAGGAGGAAAATATCCCCTATGAGATGAATAATGTTTCTGGCAGGGAAGTATGTATTTACTGAATTAGCTTCAATAAAATAACATTTACATAAAATCATATTAATTTCAGCAGGGTGTTTAACATTTCTGCTGGATCCATCTGACAAAACAAAAACGGTGTGTAATGAAAATGTGTGTTGAAATTGTTATTCCCTCTTGGAATCAGAGTAATATTAACTAAGTTTAACTCAAATGTTTCAGTTTATACATAGCTCTTTCACCAAATTACAGTCTTGCTATGAACTGCTAAGGGCACATTATTCCATATTTTTAATTGAAACTGCCCAAAATTTATAGTTTGTCAGCATAAGAAAAATTAAACTTTTCTAATGCCTGCAGAAAGCTATATTTCACTGGCTTCCCTACTCCCTGGGTACTGCTGTTGTCAATTATAGGCATTTCTGAAGTGCAAAACAAACACAGGAACACTTTGTTCCTCAGTACTCTCTGAGTAATTCCCAGATGACTCCATTACACTCTAAGGGGACACATTGGATTGGTTTTGGAACTGGAGAACAGCTATTCGACTGTGGTTGAAACCAAAAAAGTTTCATTTCCATCAGTGTAGTCCTGCCTGAGTATCTCTGAAGTTGTGCTATAAGATTTCTAGAGATGCTTTCAAATTTTTTTGTGGCAACTTCTGTAGTTCCTCTGAACATTAGTTTCATTTATTAGAAAATTCTTGCTAGAACATAATCATTTTTAGGTAGAGCTATTTGCAGAAGCACACAAAAACTGCAACAGAGGCAATAGAGATAAATTTCATATAATTCCTATGTAATTCTGATAGTACAGAAGGAATAAACAATGCATAAGTGTGCAAAAATAACCCCAAACCTCTCCAAACAGACTCCTTCCTGCCCTCATCCATTTTCTCACGTTTACAAAGCATTAGTCAAATCTTCAGCCACAAGAGAGAAATTGATCTGTGATATACAGGTGATAAACAGATGCCTGAAAGTACCCCACATAAGAGTTTTTCCTGATTCAAATCAGAGCTGTTTAATAATCTTCTATTAATCACCACTTGTAAAAGTTCACAACTATAGCTGTATTTTAGAAAGGTTCTGGATATACTTTATTTGATCAGTCCTGGCTCCTAAACTGGTAGTTGACAGAAGTGCTGCATCCAAACTGTGGGGCAGGAAAGTTTTGTGGTTTCTTTTTTCCATTATCCTTCTTGATTCTTCTGTATAAACATTTAGCCGATATCATAGAGTACTACCATTTGTGAAGACTATTTTCATCCTCTTGCAAAGTAGTTTTAAACACCATACAGATATTATAATTCAAATAACTCAATATGTAGGACGCCAAGAATAGAAATTCAAAGACTAAATAGCTTTATAGGTCACTTTCCTCCTGACATGTGCCTAAAGCCCTCTAAAGCTTGGTTTTCCATAGGCTTCCTTTGTGATCCTTCTCAAACTTCATCCACAAAAGAAACATTCAGTTCTCTGGAAAACACTAAAAAAATGTAAATATTGACAGTTCGATCATTGTCGCAAGCTGAGACTTTTATTGAGGAAACCCAATTATTAGCCTATCTATCAGATGACGCACAGTCCACTGAAATCATACATTATTTACCTGTACATATCTTCATATACTTGTACAGAAAACTGTAGATTCAGATCATAAAGCTGGGTAGCGTGCAAAGCAAAAGGCAGACTCTAACATAACAGCTCATTAGTGCACAGCAGTACAACGTTCCTGAGCAAGGTTGCTGCAGGTTTTTTATTGATATTTGCTTGTTTTTTGCAGTTATAATATAATGTTTCATGTTACAGGGGGAAAAAAAAAAGTGAAGTGTATTTAAAATCATAGAATGGTTTGGGTTGGAAAGGACTTTAAAGATCATCTAGTTCCAATTTCCTTGCCATGGGCAGCGGCATCAGGTTAATCAAACCCCCATCCAATCTGGGTTTGAACAGTTCCAGGGATGCGTCATCCACAACCTCTCTGGGCAACCTGTTCCAGTGCCTCACCGCCCTCACAGTAAAGAATTTCTTCCTAATATCTAAGTCTTCCCTCTTTCTGTTTAAAACCATTGCCTCTTGTGTAACCTAGTAAATGTAGCAGAACATTGTCTTTTCAGGAAGGATCAGGTTAAAAATATTGTTCCTATTTTTTAACGATTTTTAAGTTATTCTAAAATGATCATAATTGAATATTGGACACAATAGAGTGAATATATACTTGTTATAACTGACCATTATCTAGAGACTTTTCCGTGTGACTCCTCTAAATTACTCCGTAATACTTGAAGAATTAACTCTTCTTAGTATCTTGGGATATGTTTTTTAAAACCATTCATAAATCACCCTGTGCCTTCAGTGACACAAGACCTGTGGTCCAAAACTCCAATATTAATCCTTTTATAAAGAGTGAATTCACAGATATTTTAAGTATAGTCATTTTAGAACAGGTTGAGAAGACACAAAATCTTCTTGGATAAGTGTAATGCGAATTAGAAGACAAATGAAAGTTACTATCTCTTAACTACAAGTGTCTGTTGTCAAATAAGAGAAGGTAACTTGTTAAATTTATTTGTAGATGCTTTCTTATGAAAGGAAGAGAACAGAATGAAGACAACAAAGAGAAAAAAAGGAAGCTAGAGGGCAGTGATGAAAGAAGAGTCTTAGAGAAATAGCTTTTTTCACAAATTAAACATTTGCACTGGTATGGAGCAGACTGTAGAACAGAAAATGCTGAAATTATGATGATCAAGGAACCATCATATACATCAAATAGTTGCATCACACATTATGACATTTAAAAAATTAAATCCATTGACTCCCGAAGACAGATGTCACTAACAGATGAATACCATACTTCCCTTAAGATGGAAATAGAAGAAAAATGCAGATGAGAAGACTTTGTTGAAGTAATGTCACTGATTTTAATAAAGTTACTGAGGTTATAAATGTAAGCCCTGGAGATCTATTTAGGTCATACCTGAAAAAGAGTTCAGTATCTCTAAAAATAAATTAGGTACTTTGAAAGTGAGGGCTGACTAAGGAGATACCAGTAGTTGTTGAACATTTTAAAACAAAAGAGACAGAAAAAAAAAATCCAAACAATAAAGCCTCATATGAAAGGTGATATTAGGAAAGAAATTGGGAGGTAATATTTTGCTGCTGTAACTCTGACATGAAGTTTTATACTTGCACTGATCTTCTTTCTAAGCTATTCCACGAAAAGATTCTCCATCCAGGCCAATCAACAGCAAATCTTCAAATCAATTTCTAAAAAATCCACTTTTTTTTTTTTTCTGTAGCTTTTCTAAGTGGCCTGCAGCTAGAAAGCTGCTCCTCTTTTTTTGGTGCAACTGCTTAACAGAAGCCCGAGACATTTCCTGTCAGCTGAGATGCAGTCAACAGTATTGGGTACCCCCTGAGGCTGCCCTGTTTCCTTCTATGGGATCCGCAGTGCCCTGTATGCTGGTGAGGTGCATGGCAGCAGGAAAGGCACCTTCCTCCCTGCTCCTGGGTGCCCACAGCCAGCATGAGAAGGCATCCGTGGGTGGCTATGCTGCCTGGATGGGCTGGAGGGTGTTTAGACAGGCTGGTGGCCCGGGGAGAAGGCATCTAGTTGTGGATAAGAACTCTGAAGAATTAGAGAGAAAAGCCTACCTGCGCTGGACTGCGGCATTGAAAGAGGTTGCAGAAGAAGAGGATTGGATCTAGAAACAATGGACTTGCTTCACTGAGATTGTTTAATGGAGAGAAATCACAAATTCATGTTTGTTTTAATGTTTTAATAGTGGTTTATTCCTGCCCCTGATTTCACAATGGTTTGTTCCCACAAGAGTTCCACTTCCTTCTTATGCATATTCTATTGTAATCTCTCTCCTCATGTTCTGCACCCAATCGTTGTTCCTCTTTCCCAAAACTCCTCCCTTTGTTTACCATATTCTGGAAAGTTCTCCCAGCTCCCCTCTAAAAGGGGAGCCATTTCAATAAAGCGGTTCCCTGCTTTCCAACTTATAACTTGTGTTGAACCCTGAGTGAACTTCCCTGTGTCCCTAGCTGGCCTGTGTTACCTAGTGATGCAGGAAGCCTTGCCCAGGTGTGGTGGACACACAGCTGGGTTTTGTGAGAGTTTGTAGGTCTGACCTAAGAGAAGGGCTCTAGGAGTGTGTTTGGACAGGAATATGCATTGCAGCTCAATATTGTTCTTGACACCTGTATGCATAAAGGAGCTTACTGGAATCGATGTTTTTGTAAAGATTTGTGATGGGATTTGCATCTCTTTTACTGGCTTTTCTAAACTTGTGTTTTGGGGCTTTTTAGGCATCCAGATCTGTGAAGCCCATGGGAAGGTGGGGACTGCTCTTTCATTTAGCCCTGTGCTCAGAGGAGAAAATGACAGATGGAAAGGTAAGAGAGGCAAGAGTCACTACACTGAGCTGGGAGTCCACAGCTCATGCTTAAATAAATAGTGCAGTGAGGAGCAGAGAGCCAGCTTTCAGCAGTGACTTGCATCTTCCCAGGGGCCAAAGTAGATTGTAGTTCACTGCAACTCAAAAAATTGCTGAGATGCCTGGAAGCAAGAACTCACCTTTGAGCACATAGTGAGGAAAAGAGTCGAGTCCAAGAACTTGTAATTCTACCCTGTCTTACCTATTTTTTCCTGAGCCAGCTTTCTTTGAGTTTAATTTCCAGGCTCTTTTTTTTTTTTTTTTTTGACTGTTTAAGAACTTTTGTGGAGAGATCACAGAGAGGAAGAAGTCTAGCTACAATCACTCTAAAACTGAGGTTGTTTCAGGGTCTGGCTCCAAAAAGATCAGATGTCTATTGAGAGAAAGGGCTCTGCAGTTTTAAAGCAAGTTAGTACTGTTACATTCAGAAAAATGAATCAAAATTGCTGTTAGCTCCAGTAGAAGAGATAATGGGAACTTGTTGAGGCTTTCCACCCTACAGAAACTGTGATTTGTAAGGCAGGAGCTGATAGTATTGTCATTTTCTAAGTAGTTTGGGTTTCCAAGTTTCATATGCTGTATATTTATCATTCAACTTTAATATCACTTACAACTTTGAAGAGGAAATGCTATTTTATTCATAGTAATGAGGGATAAAGATGATGAAAAAAGTAAGAATATTCCTTTTCAGTAGAATTATTTTGGTCTCTGGGTCTCTGTTATCATGTCAGCAGGAATGTTAAGGAGAACTGAAATCTCTGTTTCATACAAGACACTTCTATAATTTTTCTGTATCAAATTTAATTTTGGAAACCCGACATTTTTATGATTAAGCAATTTGTCAAGCTTGCTATCTAAGGATTTGTAAGCTTTTCCATACAGATTCAAATTATTTCACACCATTTCCATATTGGGATACTGATGAGTACAATCATTTTGTCCTGAGTTTTTATTATTTATTCTCAAACAGTAGTAATTGTACATCATAGAAACTCCAATAAAATTAATTCATAAGAGTTGCATCATGGACTCGAAGTTATGCTATTTGGTGTCAAAAGAAATAAAATAATAACACTTTTTTGGAAAATTTTAATCACAAGAACAGCTAGTGAATTGCAAATTAGATTTAATTTAAAGAAAATTTAAAGAAGGGCATTTTTTGTGATGCAGAGATCATTTGAAGTTGTTACTGATAAACTTTGCTCTTTTCTGGACTTGCTGTAAGTATTGAAGGACACTTGAAGTAGCCAGAAATATCTTTCCTAATACTGCTGTTTCTCCTTCCTCCCATGTGGTTGATTGGTAGACCTTTCAGTGGCAAACTGAAATGCAGGCTTCTTTATGCTTCTGACAGTTTCCCTGTTATTTCTACTTGGATCTCTGTCATTTTTTGTAGAGCTGAGTCATATAGCTCTAGTATTATTATAATGATTTCTGCATTAGTATGCAAATAAAAAGGTGGGTTAGAAAACCCAGCTAAACAAATTATATTTGGGTTATTTTCTTTTTTCCTAGAAAGAAAACTAAATTTCTATTTGATGTGCATACTGTTTCCTGTGGTGGGACTAAATTTTTTTTTAATGCTCAGTAGAAACTTTCTTCTTATGAGAATGAAAGTGGACACATTCCTCTTCATGAAATAAAAACAGAGGGAGAAAAATTTTTAAGAACAATAGAACATGCTTTGATTTCAAATAAACACTTCTGTGAAACCACATTTCCTTTTTTCTTGAATGAAAGCAAGAGAAGCTATTTTTGAAAATTACAATGAAGAAATCAAGCAGTACAAAACAGGTGAAGTGTTTCAGCTAAAATCAATGCCACTCACTAGTTCACATATAATATGTCTACATAGGCAGATTAATCTATTCATGAGCTCCAAATAAGGAATCCTCATGTTGCATATCTTCTTGGGAATCCTAAATTATGTCATAGTCTGTGAAAATCCTGGCAGATTTTCATTAAGTTTATATTTCTTTTACTTAATATTTTTCCTGTTTATTATTTTATTAAATATTTTAGTGTGTTTGGTCTCATCAATTTGTAAAAAGATGTCCACTAAGTTGTATTAGCAATTAACTCTGAGATAGAAGAGAACAGAGATGGCAAATGCATTCTTAACACAAGAACATCACGAGATGTCTGGACAAAGAAACAGTACAATGTAACATCTTGACACAGATTTTTCCTGTACCATGTCACTCCTCAACTGAATGAAGACGTATGAGTGAAGATGTAGTCAGTGTTATCACTTTTCTAGCCCAAAGCAAACAGCAAAGTTTATCTTCAAGTATTTGTTACATCCCCTGCTTTTTTGTTGGGAAAGAGTACTCTTTGTCATGTTTCTAGGTTTATTGGAAAAATACCTGCTTTTACTGTCTTAACTCTGTTGATAAAATGATCCACAAAAGTGTAATACAGTTAATGTTTCTACACTAACAGTCTCTTTTTTATCCCCTGTAAAATGGCAAAGCATAATTATATATAAAGAAGAAAACACTTTCATACTTGGTAGTCTCTCTTCTCCTTCCCTCTGCCCCTGCAAACATGTAGATAGAAAATATGAGAAGTCAGTTCAGCATCATTTTTCCTCTGGTGTCACTATTTGCACTTTCTCACCATACGTGGTAAATGTGTTTAAAGGACTGCTATTCTTATTTACAAGCTTCAGATTGTTTACACATAATAAAAAGCAAAAGAAAGGAAATACTTGGAATTAAAAAGTTATCTTGCTGCAGTAGTATAATGTAACATTTCTTTTGCAAATAAAGAAATTTGATGTGAACATGAAGTTCCCTCCTCTAGTGAATTATTAAATATCGGCCTAGAAGTATTTGATGTTTGCTAGGATTTATTAAATACTTAAGTATTAAATACTTAAGTATGTATCTTTCTCAGCCATATTCTCTAGATCCATTATGGGGTTTTGAGAGAATGAGAAAGTATTTTCAGTATTTTGAAATTCAGTATTTATGCATAAGAAATCTGGGATCAAAGACTAAAGAGTTTCTACCACTATAACTCTAGCATATTTGTACTTTTTGATTCTTACAGGAGTATTTCTATGTAATATGTTTAATCTTACAACCCTTGGTTTTTATTTTAAAATTAATTTTAGTAGTTTAATGCAAATGTTATAGCAATGCAGGTTTTCTCAAGGTAGTAGTGGTTCACATATTGCTATGTCCACTGACAATATCTGTGCCTGGTCTTTGCTGATATCTTTTTTGTTATTTTGTTGTTTCTATTTGGTGGTTTGGGTTTTTTTCTTTTTTTTTTTGATTAGGGCTAGAGCTTGTGCTGTAGATACTTTGTCTCCGTAATTGGCAATCTCTCTGTTGAAACAAACCTTCCGGTAGTGTCCCTGAGGGAGATTGTTTTGGAAAGGTACTGGAGCTAGGGACGGTTTTTTTTCAACTAAATTTTTTTAGACTAAATTCTATCATGTCAAAAGAATACGTACAGAAGAACTGAGGCATAGCTTACCTTTTTCTTGCTTGTTTTCCTAGTGAATGTTGGGAACTGGAGTTAGGAAACATTCAGGGATAGGCTATATAGGAAAGAGTTGTCTGGAAAGAGGCAGAGGTAAGTTATTTCTTCACACAAGCAAATCTTAATACTTTGTGGGAGAAATTTGTTCCATTTGTGCCTTTTTGTCGTGGAAAAAATAGGAGCAGAGGTTAAAAATGCTAATTTTGATTAAAGAAGGCAGACCTTCCAAGATTTATAGTCTCAGTGGAAAAGTTGCTTTTTAAAGTCTAAGCAAAAGCAGTTGACACTCAGACCCTTAGAACCGTCTAGGAAGAAGCTGAACTCTTCCTGCAGACTGTGTCCCAAAGATCCCTCCACAAGATAAAGACAGTCTATATGAGTATCCCTTCGAATGTTTAGTTATATGTTGTTCCTCTCATAGAGCATTGGAGATCATAAAACAAGCTTCAGTCTGGAGTGGAGACAATAATAATTCTGAAGCTGTGATGGTTAGCATGCCTGCCATTCCTGATAAACTTTGACTGTGCTAGCTATGGCAGTTAATGATGTCAATACTCACGTCCTCCTCAGTTACAAGCAGCTACTCAGGTGGATGTATACTTGAATGGATTGTCTGTTTACTTGGATATAGGTCTGAGTTTAAGCCAGGGAAAAAGATGTTAGAGAGGACTATCTTCCACTGAAGCATTTGACTGGATGGGAGAACAAAACACTCTGGAAGTTCTGGTATGAAAACTTGTTGTTATCTGCTGAATAAAATAAGAAAAACCAGCAAAAACTCCAGTGAAGTTTTGGGATATTTTCTTTGATTTTGTTTCTTAGAGTAGGAAGCAATTAATTTTTAAAATATATTTCAAATGAAAGCTAATGTAACCAAATGCATGATTCTAATTTGGTAAATGATAATATTTCTCAAGCATTACAAAGCAGTGGAAAAATTAATCTCAAATTTGTTTTGAGTTTTACAAAGTGAATAAGTGGTTGTGTAATGAAACAAGATTAGCTAAATACGCAATTCAAGAAAGTAATTTTTGTTGTTTGACTTATCTCCTCAAATTAAAATCTTCCTTGGTTCTTGTAACATTTCTACTGCTCTGGTAAACAGAGCATCTTAATGCTTCACAGCTACAGTGATAAAATGGTCACATCAAACATGACCACCTGCATTGTATGAGATGTGATAGAGAATAAATTTCAGTGTCTCAATTGTTTCACAGACAAGTGCTTATGAAATTAAAGTCACTATGCAGATTAAGTGTGTACAGTAAGGAAAAGTATCTTTCTTTGTTTTAAACTGTATCAATATTTTTTGTTGTTTTTTTAATGACTCTATTATGAACGATGGAAAACAACTATTCATTATTGAATTTCTCTATGCCACACAAAGTTACTCTATAATATCCCGCCCTTCTCTGTCTCTTAGCTGACACATCCTGCTTTGTTTCATTTTTATTATTATGGTAGGTATTTCATACATATAATAATTTCTGTTGTTAATCCTGATAGTTTACAATTCTTTCTGGGAATGAGTGGCATCAGAAAAACAGAACCTGTTTGAAATATTGTTATGCATTGATTTATTTGGGTTGTTCTCAGAAGGAAATCATAGAATCATTGAATGGGCTGGAAGGGACCTTGAAAATCTCCTTGTTCCAACCCTCCTGCCATGGGCAGGGACACCTTCTACTAGACCACATTGTTCAGAGCAACATTGAGCCTGGGCTTGAACACTTCTAGGGATGGGTCATCCACGGTGTCTCTGGGCAACCTCTCCCCTTAAAAAACCCCAAACTTGCCTGCTCAACCAAAACAATCAGAGGT